GAAAAAAAGAAAATTTATTCATAACACACGTGAAAAGACCAAGGAAAACCGAGTAAACGATAAAAACAATAACAAAATAACGCTGAAAACCGATAAAAGCCCTGAAAACTATACATTTCACACCTGAGCCTCAACTCTCGCGGCCCGGTACCAAATGACTCACGGACCGGTACCGGTCCAAGGCCCGGGGGTTGGGGACCGCTGTTCTAAAGGATCTTGGAAAGAAAAGGGTCTGGATTTGCTCATTTAAATTGTGCATCCTTCAATTTTTTATACACTCGACATCGGGAACCCTTCTGCAAGTACTGCTAAATATTTTGTGGGTGTTGTTACTCATTCACATATTTTGGCTAACAAATTACCAGTTTGATTATAAATCGTCAGCGTGAGGATTTAGTTCTACAGCTAAGGTGTGAATCCAGTAAGGTCCAATGACTATTACAACTGGGATCTCAAATTGTTGACCAAAGAAATCAATACATGTACTGCGTCCCTTAAATGACGTTTAATATGACAGGTTAAAGGCATAGATCTTTTCTGAACTACTGGACATGGTGAGTTCAGGATAATCTTCAAAGCTGTCTTTATAACTTGGGTTTGGAATTCTTAATGCCAGGATGCGTCTACACGTACACGACTATTTTGGTAAATATAGCTTTTATTATGCGTTTGGCTGTTTGTTTTTGATGTTTTGGATCCCTGAAAACTTCTGCCAGAGTTAAGAGTTTGGAAAACTTGGATTCAGTGTTAAAGTGTGGACAAGGACTTTTGAATGGTCAACATTTCTTCACGGTTGGAGTTACATCGCCACCTGCTGCTTTAAGATGGTCTTGACAACACTTGGATGTGGACGGATATATTTTTTAAAACAAACTCAGAAAATTTTTTGTTTAAAAATAAAAAAAAGAGTGTTTGTAACCTCAGAAACACTTCAAGAGCATGTCCCGTTCTACGATCTGATCACTGCAACTTTATACACAACCCCCCCACCCGCTTTGAGCTCCTAGCATCATGCCTGGTCTAGTATGTTTCTAATGCTATTTAAAAATGCAGCTTCAAGCCATGCTAAATATGAATAGTGCTGATAACCTGGCAAGGCCAAGAATGATGACTGAGTAGTTTTTGGGTGCATGTATCTGCCAAAAAATAAATAAGCTAACGGACAAGGAACAGCAGCATGTTAGAAAGATGAGTCATTTTTTGATGCTTGGACCCGAGGAACAGAGTCAATATGTGTTTTTTTATTTTAATATTTTGAGCAGTAATTTGAAGATGGAAACAGTGGGTAACATGTTCAGTCAGGGGAAAATGAGCGTTAATAAAAGTGGGATATTACTGACAAAGAAAACAAATGTGATGGTTTTTCTCATTTCAGTCACAGGTTTTTTATTGGTGTGCTAGCCTCCTTCATCTTCATTCATACCTTCATCTAGAAGCTTTATTTAAACTCCAGACCAGTCACCACCCTCTGTGTGCAATCATTAGATCAACCCTTTTTTTTGTACATGTCACTCACAGTTTTTCATTAATCGGGCTTCAGGTTTTATTATTTTTTCACACCCTGTCAGATTTTGACTGATTTTTTTCTCGTCTCTGGAGCTTTTTAACTTTCTCATTTAAAGTTCAATAAAGACGATCTGTCACTCACATTAAGTATCTTGATGTTGATGGGGCCATTCTTGCTGCTTTATTTTCTTTGTCACTTTTATTTTGTAATCTGGGCCCTCACCCGTGTTATAGTCTACATACATCAGGCTTAATGGCCTAACAAAATTTAATAGATCCATGGTGCATAAAGTTTGGCTTGCAATGATCATAGCGTGGAGCCAGAATTAGACATGTTCAATGAGGACAGCTAGAAACCCCATTTAAGGAAAGCCATTTTGCAAAGCTGATTTATCAGTGAGACAGTGTAATCAGCCAATATTAGCAATTTGCTGATATGTCAGTATCAGCATTTATAAAGCGTGATAAATGGAAATTAAAAATAAAAAATTGGGGTGGCTGTAGCTCAGGAGGAAGAGCAGATCTTGTGCAGCCAATGTGAAAGTGGGTGATACATGTGCAAAAAGACATCTGATCCTATTGTAGTCTATGGTAAAATGTCCCATAGAGTACAAAACACTTTTGGGTTGAGTTAAGGTCCATGACATTGCTACTGACCAATCATGTTGTTATGATATCATAGCTTTAAAATGTTGGGGAAATGTTGTAATTA